AAGTAAATAAGACGACAAAATATTCTATATTCAGTATTCGTTTAGTTGATGTCGGAACCTCACAGTTCTTTCAGGGCATGTCGATTCATGGCAACAACGAATACCTGCGAGGTTTTGTCGTGGTCGTTAACTATCAGGGACTGCATCTTAGCCGTAGGGATTGCATAGTTGGGTGGATAGTACTATGTTCTAAGTAAGCGGCTTTTAGCCAGTTAACATTCATGTTGATTGTAGCTCCGTGCTTTTCAATGGTATAGTATATGACCACAGTAAAATGACTGTACATCATACCATGACGGTGTAAATATGTCGAATGTCACCTAAACATCATCGAAACTTATGTATAATAGCATTTCTGATTTGAAACAAAATGATTTGTCCGGAAACGTATGAGCCGATAAGCTACATGTGACTGACGTGGGTGCAGATCTCTACAAACTTACAGTTCATGACAACTGTTTCCGTTCTAGCTGTATATTAAATTAGTTTATGTACTGTCAATATTAAGATGGACCAAGTCGGTCACTTAAGTTCTCAGAATGATTTTATTTACTTTACTGTGATTATATTATAGGGTGAATACATGTTAGATCCTTCTGAAATCCTGTGATATATTTACTTTTGAGCGACTATACGAAAGCGTACACAAGATAACTGATCGGTCTCCTCTTCACAATATTCATATAAATTTCCAACTTTTAACAAATTCACTAAATATTGTACAAAACCATAACTTATTCTCAACTGCTTATTGTCTCAGAGTGTCATGATCAGTCGCTACAGTAATTCGCCATGATATTTCCCATCATGTTTAGTTGTTTTAGTCGGTGGCCGTCTTACCACAAACACGATTAGACGATACCTAACTACGGGTATTACACGAATCTAAGTTTCATCACTTTTCCTCATATGTCTCATTAATAACTTTGGGGTTGTCGAAGATAACTCGTGTTGAGTATCACAGTCCTGTTTTTGTAGCCGGATAAGGCGCCGTCAAGCCCCATACATAGCTAGGATTTCTCTGTTGATAGTGCTATAATTCGATGCAGTGTCTTGAACTCAATCGAAAAAAATGTCAAAGTTTCCCAATCATTTTATGCTAATCGTCACATTGCACCTCCGATCGCTTAGTCGAACATGCCTATAGCGGTGCTAATTAGTTCTTTGACGTCGTGTACCAAGAGAATTGCTTCGCTGTGGAAAGCGCTCAATTTTTGTTGTCATCAAGTTTCATGATTTTTGCATTGAAGGGAATTTAGCATGTTAGAGGTCCCACAGCAATGTTGTAATTCGGTATGAACTGTCAATAAAACCGCCGAAGATGCACGACAAAGATCGTCTCACGCAAATCCAGAGTGAAGACCACCTAATGTTTTAGGGAGTGGATATATTGAAAGAAAATACCATCTACAAAGAGAACACGAAGTCCGTAGGACCACAAACATATATTTGAAACAGCATAGATTAGTTAAGAGTTGAACCCAAACAGCTAAGTATATGTCAAATATTAGAGCTCAATTAAACATTCACTTCCTTATTTTGTAGAAACATCATGTTCTCTATGATATTATATTGAATGTTGGAAAGATTTGTGTGTTTAAACAGGTAATCTCACGTTCCACTGTGACTGCCACGCGATCTAAATAAAGACCTATTCACTACTAGTCTGAGTTCTGCTATCAATAGGACAACGATTACCTACAAGCACGAAACTTTTGAGCTATGTCAAACCCAAATTTAATTTCATTATAATTATTAATATCATTCTTTTACTTAGACCTAAAGTACATCTGATTATCCTTAACCGAAATTCGGTATAATATTTACATATCGTTTCTTTTATCTTAAGGCATTCGTTTTGTAGTACTCATTTTTCGTTCCATCTATATTAGTATATTGGTCATATACCTCATGTTAAACTCACTACAAACCCAAAACCTGGAGGATTTGTGACCAGTGGAAATAGATACTGTTATGACTACGAAAGCCCGAATCCTAGAATTTGATCGTAGTGCCCCTGAGTTGTGGTTCACTCAACTAGAGCATTGTTTTATGAGACACAGTATCAAATCTGAAGGGATTCACTATAGAGACTTGTGTTTTATCCCCCCTCCTACAGTCACCAAAGAATTCCGTGACTTGATTTTAAGTCCACCATCACCACAACCATACATAACCTTAAGACGTGAGATAATGAACCGTTTATCATTATCGGACGGCCGAAGAATCCAAAAAGCTTTTCCAAGGAGAGCGACTAGGTGACATGTCCCCGTCACAGTTTTGACGTCACCTCCAACTCTTAGTGGGTGACAACACAGTAAGTGAAGCAGTCCTAAACCAGGGATGGATACAAACTCTGCCATGCTACGTCCAACACTGTTCGGATGCACAAGATCCTGAAACCTCTTTACCTCATTTAGCGCGTATAGCCGATAGAATAATGGGAAGAGGTCCCACAACTTGATGACGCACGATAAATCACGCACAAAAAGAAGAACCATCAAACGACCCAGTCGTGGGACTCATTACGAATGTTAAAAGTTTCAATGAGTTTGTCGCCAGAATGCAAACGAGTCATAGAAACAGGAGCAGGTCACCACAACGACTAAGGTCGAAGTCACAAAACAGGTCACAAATGTTCAGACAGTCTGGGCAGTTCTGTCGGTACCACTGGAAGTTTGGTGTCAACTAAACTGAATGCAAGCTACCATGCGCCTGGTCTAAACAGAATCCCAAAACTATGAGAAACGAACACCCCCCCACGTCGAAACGATTGAGGAGGTGCGCCTGAACAGTCACTTGGTTTATGTTAGAAAAATAAACTCATGTCTGAACTACTTTGTATACACATTTACCCTTGCGATCGATTCCAAGTCACGTCACACTGTGTATTCAAAAATTGCTCACGGTTGTTGCGCGCACTCCGACGAAATTTTCTGCGTCTACGAATGTGGCTCGAACAAGAATTCCTTGACATTACGGATTGATGCTAGGTTTTCGTTTGGCAGCCACTAACATTCTCCCGTCTGTCTTCAACGCCAGTTACCATCGTGCGCCGTGGTAGTCAGTAGTTTGGTATGTGAGCACGTGGTTCAACCATCTCAGTCGATGAAGATTCACAACCTCACCAACTGATTTTCCATCATTCCCTAATACCCTGCATCTAACGTCACCAATACTTACCCGGTGATCCCAGCAGATGCGAGTAATATTTCTAAGGCATCTGTGGTCAAATACTAGTAGCTTACCAATATCTTCTACTCTTAATGCCCACGTTTCGCAGCCGTAAAGTTAAACAGAATCAACTGTCACGCAGTATACTCGTTTTTTTATTGATAGACGAATATCTCGCTTTCTCCATAGGTGACGTAAGTTGGCAAAAGCCAAACGAGGTTTTTGGATGTGTACAGAGATTTCGTCAGACACCAACCCATTAGGGATGATCAGACTTCCAAGGTAAGCGAAGTTGTCGACGCTTTCGACTACTTCACTCCTTATAATTAGTTCAGGCCAGTCCTAATGCAACAACTTGCATTTAGGGTGGAGAAGCACATCCCAAACACTCTGGCATTGTTGTTCAGTGGTACCAAATGACTCTGCATTTTATCAACGTCTTCACCAAACAGGACTATATCATCTGTGTATTCTGAGTCGATAAGTAGACCTCTTGAAAATATATCAATTCCTGAAAATTCAGTCGACGCGGACGTTATTTCGATCAGTAGGTCTATGATGAAGTTGAAGAGAAATGGAGAAGGTGGACAGCTTTGACGGACATTACTTAAGGTTACGAAAGCAGATGACATTTCGTCAAAAGCTCTGACTCGACTAGTAGTGTTCGAGTAAAGAGTCTGCACGAGGTTTATGTACATCTGAGGTACGCCTCTCAATGACAGACACTGCCACAGAATCTCGCGGTCTACAGAGTCAAATGGTGCTTTAAAGTCAAGAAAGATCACCATTGTCGGACGCCGATAAGCATGCCTGTTCTAGGACCTGATGAATGGTGAATATGTGGTCGATTCAACCACGACCAGGTCTGAAGCCAGCCTGATTTTCACAAGTTTGCACTTCACGCGTCTTTGTTAGGCGTCCGGCATTTATTGAGCCTAGTATTTTAGATTCTATTTATTCAAACTAATCCCTCTTTGGTTGTCACAGGATGATTTTGAATCTTTCTTATACGTTGTGGCAATCAGTGATTGGGACCAGTCAGTTGGGATGAACTCCAACTCCTAGATTTTAGCTAAGATATTAGCCAACCTAATCGCCAAACTGAACCAGCATACATGAAGACCTTTGGAGCCAATCCATCTTGATCAGCTTCTCTTTCTTGTTTCAGTCTAGCTATAGCCATTGGATCTTCAATTAGAGTCGTGGATCTTCTTCAATGTTCCATTCTGGCCGTTTGACAATGGTGGGTGGTTGTCAAGTAGCTGATGGTCAGCTGAACTATTCCTTAAAGTGTCCCGCCCATCGCTCTAAACGCCTGAGCTGAGAGTACCGTCTTTTTCTGAGATCATCTCACTTACACTTGACTTCTTAATCCCGGTTTCTTCTATTAGTCTTTAAATCTGTTTGGTGTTATCTACAGCCACCGCCTTTACTATGCCAGGAAAGGCCATAAGCCCTCTATCGTTACCACACAAATCTGAATCATCAACAAATGCAATTTACTAAATCAACACTTGGTTAGAGCTACATATTTCGACGCTTTCAAAAGGAAAATGGATCTACTGATTGACAACAATTGCCAGGACTAGCATACACCACCTAGTATCTTGTTTTTTCCAAAATGGAACTGACAAGATTATCAACTCTATGTTCATGGGTTTAGCTAGGCAAACGTATTTCACGGAAATTGATAGGAAAGAAATCGTAAATAATTGAATTTTTAATCAAGGAGTGGGATTCAATCCTTCTTTCTACTTCATCATACTTGTGTTTAATAATATCAATTAGCAGCTAAATTTGTTCTATTTTCAGATTCACTCTAAGATCAGCTGTTGCGGTGTTTTCGAATCAGTGGCGCTTAAATGACAGATGAGGCGATATTCCGGTGTTTCTGTGTAAATTATGAATAAGACTCTGTGTGGTAGGTCATCTAACGAGCAAATCCATATTTTTGCGTCAGGTTTTTCCAGTATGTAAAACGTAACACTTGTTTTCGGTAGCTGCCCTTGAGGTTATAACCTTAACTTATTAGTTAATTAGCTTCACTTCAGTCATATGGTAGCTTATGAATAAAACGTCTGAATCAATACGTAGTGTTTAATAAAGTCCTTTCATCATTTAAAGAACAATGGCTTGTCATGCTTGGAGGTATGTTGTATATGATTGGATGTGAGTCGCTATTTTCGTGCTAAGAATACGAAGTTTCGGAGACCAAAAATAGACCGAATAAACCCATTCAACATTGACTGATGCCGATGTTTCTTACTTTAACAATGAGAGACACTAACCTTAAGTATCACATCATCATTGGTAGTAATTCATACGGAGCAACGAAAATATACGTAACAATATTGTATAACGAAGGAAGATAATGATATACTAATGTTTCTGGGGTAATAAACTTTAAATTCCCCGACTGTAGAACTTTTTGTAGTTATTCAATAAGCTGATAATATGGATTAACGTATATGATAAATATATAGTGATTTTTATATAATTGTTTTGGTCCTCATTGCACAATTAGTAATATGACTATGACACTGCCACCCATGGTTTTAATAAAAATCAGAGCCGGTTTTCTGTTTCTGGTAGACTATGGTGCTTAAGTACGTGTCATCGTAGTAGCTTGATGCATATATTCATATTCCAGTGAGCGAAACCCCACCTTACGATGAGTTTCAAGGTGCCACAGGTATTGTGAGTTTAACGCCCTTACACATTACACCTTTTAATCGGAGTATACCAACCCAATCAAATCAGGAGTCAGAAATAAAAGGGTTGAAATATATATTTGGAAGGCTATCGATATGTCGAGAAGCGTTTGGTCTAAGCTGGATAACAGTTGCAAGGAGTGCGTAGCATGGCGTACCCACTCGTGATCTGGTGCGCATATGTGACCGAGCACCTTCAGCCAGGTGTGTCCAGCAAAACTGACGAGGCCAGCACCAGTGTTGAAGGCTTACAGAACTACTTTTTTTGGGGATTTATTTATCGCTGCAAATTATCGGTTTGTCAATCTCGTCCTTTCATATTGGCGTACATAATACTTATCGTAAATGAGTTGATGCTCATTTACTCATGGCTTTCCTTCTCCGGAAGTCAGCTTTTATCTATAATTTTATTCACAAGGCATTTCGACCATGCACATCAAATTTTTTGAGTGTATGTATATTTGTCATAATTTAATATTGTTTGGCTTTAATTGTTACTTATTAAAGTCTTCCAATGGAAAATAATGCAGTCAGTCAGTCAGCTACAGCGTAGGACCAGGCACGTTTGTGCATCGGTCCAAGTTGCCATACCTCATTAGCAGAGCAGGATGAACACCGGATTCATAGTAGTTAATTCAATGGTAATATATAAAAGAAAGATAGCATATAAGAACATAGTATAGGAAGAAAGAATTAGTTCGTGGAAAGAAGGATGTGAATCAGTTTTAATCTCATAGTTTAAGGGAAGACAAAGAGTGTATACACTTACACCATTGTGGTCGATTCCGAGCCATGTCACACAGAGTCTTCAACCATTGGTTTCGATAGTTACGTGGACCCCAACCAAGTAGTCTGCACCTACCAACATGGCCCAGACTAGACGTTAGTGACTTCAAGCACTGATGCCACGTTTTGGTTTGGCCACCACTAACTTTCTTTCAACCATCCCCAACACCGGTTAGCATTGCACGTCGTGGTAATCGCTGTTCAGGCATACACAACACGTGGCCCAACCATCTCAGTCGATGAAGATTCACAACCTCACCAACTGATTTTCCATCATTCCCTAATACCCTGCATCTAACGTCACCAATACTTACCCGGTGATCCCAGCAGATGCGAGTAATATTTCTAAGGCATCTGTGGTCAAATACTAGTAGCTTACCAATATCTTCTACTCTTAATGCCCACGTTTCGCAGCCGTAAAGTTAAACAGAATCAACTGTCACGCAGTATACTCGTTTTTTTATTGATAGACGAATATCTCGCTTTCTCCATAGGTGACGTAAGTTGGCAAAAGCCAAACGAGGTTTTTGGATGTGTACAGAGATTTCGTCAGACACCAACCCATTAGGGATGATCAGACTTCCAAGGTAAGCGAAGTTGTCGACGCTTTCGACTACTTCACTCCTTATAATTAGTTCAGGCCAGTCCTAATGCAACAACTTGCATTTAGGGTGGAGAAGCACATCCCAAACACTCTGGCATTGTTGTTCAGTGGTACCAAATGACTCTGCATTTTATCAACGTCTTCACCAAACAGGACTATATCATCTGTGTATTCTGAGTCGATAAGTAGACCTCTTGAAAATATATCAATTCCTGAAAATTCAGTCGACGCGGACGTTATTTCGATCAGTAGGTCTATGATGAAGTTGAAGAGAAATGGAGAAGGTGGACAGCTTTGACGGACATTACTTAAGGTTACGAAAGCAGATGACATTTCGTCAAAAGCTCTGACTCGACTAGTAGTGTTCGAGTAAAGAGTCTGCACGAGGTTTATGTACATCTGAGGTACGCCTCTCAATGACAGACACTGCCACAGAATCTCGCGGTCTACAGAGTCAAATGGTGCTTTAAAGTCAAGAAAGATCACCATTGTCGGACGCCGATAAGCATGCCTGTTCTAGGACCTGATGAATGGTGAATATGTGGTCGATTCAACCACGACCAGGTCTGAAGCCAGCCTGATTTTCACAAGTTTGCACTTCACGCGTCTTTGTTAGGCGTCCGGCATTTATTGAGGCTAGTATTTTAGATGCTATTTCAGTCAAACTTGGCAAGGTGAGGTCAAGTGAATGACCACACTAGGATCCTGTATGCGTGTTTCGGAGACACAGCATACATCAATGGTACGAGATTCTAGGGTTTTAGCTGAGGAGGCCCGCTGATCGATTTGACATAGGGTGGGTATGTTGAAGGCTCCAATGTGTGGTTTGGAGCGAGGTTTCATTAGCCCTGGACAGTGTTTTGGGCACTAGAATCATTGACCATGGTGACACTTGAGAAGGAATTTCAGAGTTTGAAAGACGAGGTAGGAGGAATAATAGAAATTGGAGAGGGAGATTAAATATAAGTACAGTGATCTCGGGTGCTATTAGAGGTTTGAGGGCGGTTATCACTTCCCGGTTGCCCACAACGTGGAACGGTTCTTCTTGAGGTACCTGAAAATGAAATTACGTATGAGGTGGTCTTGGTGACCTGTGAGCGTGACCGCAGTGTCCAAGGTACAACTGCTTGAGGTCGGTCACACTCGACCTTTTTGTGAGTAATATTCGTGTTAGTTCCATACTTGTTGAAACCTTACCACCGGAGTCGGAAATCTGTGGGATAAGACGAGGTGTCCATTTCCAGGACCAACCTTCTCTAACCCCATCTTTCATTGTGTGCAGGCAGCATCGCTGTTACGCTGGTTGTCTGAAGGAAACGTCTTACTGCCGTCGCACTCCTGTACAGTCAGAAGTAGGACTTCACCCTCACACCCTGGTTTTGCTGCTTCTAGTCTTACCGCTCTTCAATCGACCTGTCTGGCATGGTAGGACCTTGAGAAGCGATTGTTCCAGTCAGTACAGCTCGATTGCTTCATCACGATAGGTATGCCCGACCACCACGTCAAGGTAGCAATAACAGTCGGGCATCAAATTTCTGGTCTAGAATATCTGCCCAACTTGCTGAGGCTAATCCAATCAGATAATAAGCTAAGATAATATTTCCTGAGAACTCAAAAGTAATGTATGTTGTTTCTAGACTAATTTTGCGATGATGTTGATTGGTAAACCAATCATCCTTAGGAAATACCAGCTTATGTTCCTCATCACAACTAAATAGTTTATAATTTTCGTCATTGAAATGTAATTAAACTCTGTAGGAAACCTAGAACTTCCAGAACAAATATGACTAAAAATCACTCCAATTTGATCTTTATAAGTCGCTTAAACTTGAAGCCTGCTTCATTTATTCTATACATATTTATAGAAAGCTGAGTAAAATGTGTATAATTGGTGTAAATCAATATCACATTTTTATCGGTCGCTGGTGATATTCTCGTGACGTGTTCTATTTTTCAGAGTCAATTAGATGGTATGTCAGTCAAATAAAGGGATCAAATCCTGAAGATATCGCTGATGGTAGGTTTCCCTTCGTCCCCAATGAATCGGTTACTTAGGTGATAACTTTACGTGTGTCGAGTTTAATGAGTCCGGAGAATTGTTAGCTACTGGTGATAAAGCAGGTCGTGTTACGGTTTTTAAGAATAATAAAGATGTAGGTTTTTCTTTATCTTCACTATCAGTTTTCACTCTTAATTAGACTGGATTATATGATATTTATTGCACATTTACGAGTCATGAACCAGAATTCGATTACTTAAAATCTCTGGAGATCGAAGAGAAGATTAATTCAATTACCTGGCTTCAAGCATACTCTTCTGCTCATCATCTTCTTTCAGCTAATGGTAAGTGTATGTTGATGTGTTTGATATGCATGATTAATTCGGCTGAAAATAGTGAGGTGATGTAATTTAGTTAATAGTTCTTTCGTCATTGGCGTAAATAAATCGTTGTATGTAGATGCGTATATAGACATATAAGCTTGGAAACGGATTTTCTGAATACGGGAGAAGTAAATAGAATTTTTGAAGAATTTTGTAGGAATAACTGAAGATCGGTCACAGTGATGTATCTGGATTCACTCTTGATTTTTTATCTCTCCATATTTTGAGCTTAGGATTGTCTTATGCCCAGTTCATAAGAAGCCATCCCAAAGATCTTGATTTATCGACATACACGAATTCAGTATGATTATCATTTACTGTGTAGCTCCAGGTAATAAACTGTCTTTCACCAATCTCTGATTATTCGGACTAGTTCCCTCTGATAGTCCCGAAGGACTCTTTATTATTACATGTCCCCACTGTTTTGAACTCTCATTACCCGTCATTACTCATGACCGTTGTGTAGAATTTTGTCAACGTACATGTATGTGTTGTATGTTAGTTTGTTGTTGAATATGTGAAAATATGAGAGCAAGCATTGATTAAAGAATCTCGTAACTAATTAAAATGAAGTTTTTACTGATACAAGCTAATGGTGATCTTATTCACTTTGAATGCCCATAAACACTTATAAACAACAAGTTTTCCCACGTAGATGTCTTAATCAATTTAGAATTTACTAGTTTGGACGTTGAGTTAATGACCTGAGACTATGCTATAACTTATAACTCGTCATAACCTTTCGGGATACTTCATCTTTGTGTATAGTCTATCGAGATTAAATGAAATTTAGGTGTGTTTATTGTAAACTGAGTCGAGGCACACACATTAAAGAAAAATAGATAGTCGTTCGAGTGTTTAGTCGACTCATTACTTAAATACTGTTCTTGTGGCTCTCATTTCTTAGTAGCTTGAGTTCTCTTTTCTGAATGATTATTTATTACATCAAAGCTTGCTTCAGTTTCAGCAAAAGTATTTTCCTACATTGTGCCAACCACTAGATACTTTGTAGTGTTTTTGCTCTCTCATCTACTTTGAAATTCAGTGTTACTTAAATCCTGCTTTATTTCCTGTGAATAGTTTCATGTTCTTTTCACTGTTATTTAGATAAAACCATTAAACTGTGGAGATTATCAGAAAGACACTATGAAGCATATAATTTTAATATACGTGACGATGAGAATGCTAGTTTATGGGATGAAAGCTCGGATCGACTGAATATGATCGGACCACCAATTCCTCACATAATTACTCCAGATAAACTGCGTATTCCGAAGTTTCGTAAATCTCGTCATCTTACAATCGAAGCCCGCCCACGACGTTTTTTTGCCAATGCTCATGCTTATCATATAAATGCGGTTTCTGTAAATTCTGATCAAGAAACATTTCTTTCGGCTGACGATTTACGCATTAATCTTTGGCATTTAGATGTGACCAATCAGTCATTTAGTATGTTTATTTACTAATTTTAAATTTCTAGAATTATATATCCATAATTGATAATAAATGGACTTTTCCTGTATTTTTTTAATCTCAAATTATCTCAGTCAATGTAGACCATGATTCGAGCATACAGATTCAGCCCAGGTTCCCTCACCACAATGTGAGATTAACCAGATATGTAGCAAGGAAGTTTAAATAATATTAGTGTTATTGATAATAAAACTAGATATGGGGAATATAGTCCGAAAAGGAATGGAATAAATGAATGTAAAGTATGAAGTAGCGCCAAAACTTAGAATCTAGGAGGAAGTACAAAATAAATACATCCATATCACTGAAGCTAATTTCGAATCATATCACAAATTTTACCATCTTTCATTTTTTAGACAACAATTGCATTTCAATACATTTATTTATGCTATTCATTCAACACTTTATTTGGAAGGAAGTTAGTTTCCCGATACTCCTTCGTATTCATACTTATGTATAAAGTCACTAATTTTCCATTTTAAATTATATGTTATTTGGTGCTTTTTTACTGTACAGCTTTTATGAAAGTCAAATGTTTACTTTTCCATTCCAAGATTTGAAACCGAAGGTCCAGCTGCTAATTGTGGAACTAAAAAATGACTAGTGCTCTAGGCTCCTAACAATCGAAACAGAAAGCCTTATTTTATGTTTTCTGAAGCGAGTTTTTCTTCTTAATTACTATAATCGGTTGATAAACATATGGGATGTCTTATATCTTCTACATAATTCCGTTTAAGTGTAAATGAATTTAATGAATAGTCCCATTGCTTGATAAGTCAGTATTTCTTGCCGAATAGGGAATGTGATACTATGCCCAGAGATTAGGCCCAGCAGTTAGATCTTGATTAGAGAATGAGTAACCTACGAACTGATTTTCTCTAACCGCCTGTGAAGTTTTATGCCCTGGTATGGCCGAGAGCGGGGTGGGTCCGCCCTCCCTCTCGAAATACTCTCACACGGCCGCGCGTATATAGCCTCTGCCAGGGAAGTCCTACTCATTGCATTCTCGTGGCGGGGGTGTTGTTTACGAAAATGAGAGGACGAAAAGCGAATGTCTGGCACTTTAACCGGGTCACAAACCAATGGTGCACATGGGCTCCAGGATCCTAAGGGAACAAATGGTGTATGAACCAATTGTTGGTCACCGGCTACCATGGGACTGCATCTCCTCACGATGCTCCACTGCCTTGTGGGTTAGACCGTTAGGTCAAAGGCTCGGGGTGTGGCCCCCTAAGATAACCACCTGCTTCGGTTTGGGCACCCGGGCAGTATCACAGCCCACACAATTAATGAACTGAACTGTCTATGATCATGGAAACTAATTCTCTTGCTTCGACGAACATTCAAATGATTCAATTATTATTATTGCTGTTGTTATTGCTGCTATTATTATTATTATTATTATTATTATTATTATTTACTACGTCATTCACCCTCTTTTATTCCTACTCTGTCTATACTTATTTTTTCGACTTATACAGCAGCTCGTCTATGGTGGAAATTCGACTCTATCTAAACGTTCTAGAGTCACTGTCCGGTTGAAAATTGTATGTTACCACCGAGTACGAGGACTGAAGCAGTTTTTCTGAAACCACGTGCACCATTCAAACTGGCTGCCTTCAACGTTCGCACATTTATGCAGGTCGGACAACAGATAGAGCTGGCTATCTCTTTGGGAAGTCTTAATATCAACGTTCGTTGTCTATTCGAGACCCGTATTCAAGACTGGTGAAGAACTAAAAATTCACACTCCATCTGTCGCCTCAAAAAGCTTGTTTTACGTGCGTTTATTCAGGGACCCTGTGGCATCTTCGTCTGTTCTTGCTGGCGTTGGTGTCGCACTAAGCGCTAGAGCTGAGGCAGCACTAATCGATTGGATACCCATTAGCAGTCGATTATGTGCTGTTAGATTAGAAGTTCCACCAAAGTGAGAAGAAATCGGCGTGAGAAACGATGTCTTCGTCATCTCCGCCTATGCCCCTACAGATTGCAGCCCGGATGCAATCAAGGATGAATTCTACCACCAGTTAACTGTTCTTCTCCATAAAGTGCGTTCGACAGATATTGTAGTACTAGCCGGAGACTTGAATGCTCAGGTCAGGCGTCTAGGCACAGAAGAGAGTCGTTTAGTTGGCTGATGGGGACTTGTTGGTCTCAGGACAGATAACGGGGACCGTCTACTGCAACTATGCACAGACCACAACCTGTTTCTGGCTAGCACTAACTTTCGGCACAGTCATCACCGATGTGCCACCTGGCGTCCTCCCTCTGCATCTCAAGCCTGGACTCAGATTGATCACATCGCGATCAGCTACCGCTGGCGTGGTTGTATACAAGACTGCCGCTCCTTTTGTAGTACCTACCTGGACTCTGACCATGCCCTGGTCTGCGCCAATCTTACCTTACTCTTCAGTGGCCAACGAAGTGACCACCACCAAAGGATTGATGCCAGCAGGTTGGTTGCAACTTCTGTTGCAAGTAAGTATCGAACTGAGCTAGCTTCTAGGCTAGCTACCGTTCCACCGAAAAGTATAGATGAGCATTGGTTGCAACTGCATGACGCCATGAAAATGGCGGGTACAGTCAGTTGTGGATTCACAAAACGTCCCGCTTATAAGCACTGGGTTTCTGCAGGTTCTTTACAACTCATTGAAGCCCGTCGGTCTACTCCGGGTGACCGTGAGTTTGACCACAAACGAAGGATGTTACGTAATGAAATCGGGCAAGGCTTGCTTAAGGACCGAGAAGCCTGGTGGTCGATGCGTGCTAATGAGCTAGAAGCAGCAGCTGCATCTGGTAATTACCGGAAGCTCTTCCAACCCATCCGAGCCACTGGCAGCAATAAGTCTGGTGTGAGCGAAACAATCTGTGAGGAGGACGGGATGCCAGTCACTAACATCCATCAACGTCTTGGACGATGGGCAGAATTTTTTGAAGGGCAGTTCAACTGGTCTGCTGCTCCGGAAACATCGGTCAGACTGTCCTGCCCTCCATGGCCGGTGACGACTGATCCACCAACTGAGGCGGAAGTCCGCAAGGAACTCCAACTCTTGAAGCACTACAAATCACCTGGCCCAGATGACTTACCTCCGGCTCTTTTTAAAGATGGTGGTGACTTTCTGACTAAGGAATTGACGACGTTGTTTACAAAGGTTTGGGAACTAGAGAGTGTACCAACGTCATGGAATGAGTCGATAGTTGTCCCTATCTTTAAAAATGGTTCACGTCGTTCCCGTAACAACTATCGGGTGATAAGTCTACTTGCGATTGCATCCAAGCTATTGGTTTCCGTCATGCTTCGTAGGTTGTTCAAAACCCGAGAAAGATTGACTCGCGAGGAGCAGGCTGGTTTTCTTTCCGGTCGAGGGTGTATTGGTCATATCTTCACCCTCTGCCAAATGTTAAACCACCGTCATACTTATCACCGGCCAACAATCGTAGTGTTTCTTGACATCAGGGCTGCCTTCGATTTGTTGAACAGGACTTTTCTCTGGGATTGTCTATTGAAGAAGGGTGTGCCTGAGAAGTTTATTAACATCCTAAAAGCCCTATATACAAACACCTCAGGCAGAGTGAGGGCATACAACCACCTTTCTCCATTGTTCCATTCGTGCAGTGGGGTTAGGCAGGGTTGCCCAATCTCACCATTCCTCTTCAACTTCACCATCGTTGACATTCTGGAAACAGCTCTGGTGGATGTAAGTGATTGTGGTGTTGATCTGTTGCCTGGAGAAAGATTTCTTGACCTTGAGCATGCGGATGATATTGTCTTACTGTGTGATAATGCCCAAGCCATGCAATCCTCACTTAATCAGTTGGCAATCAATGTCCGTAGGTATGGTATGTACTTTGCACCTTTGAAGTGCAAAGTACTTCTACAAGACTGGCAGGATCCTAATTCTGTACTCGCCTTGGATGGTGAGCAGATAGAAATAGTCGAGAAGTTCGTGCATCTGGGTAGCTGCATAGGTGCTGGTGGGGGTGTGAGTGATGAGATCAATGCACGTATAGTGAAAGCCAGAGAGGCTTATACCAATCTGGGTCATCTTTGGCGCCTTCGTGATGTCAGTCTGGCTGTAAAAGGTCGGACCTACAACGCTTCGATGAGAGCAGTTTTGCTCTATGCTTGTGAAACCTGGCCTCTCCGAGTTGAGGATGTTAGACAACTTTCTGTGTTCGATCATCGTTGTCTCCGAAGGATTGCTGACACGCAGTGGCAACACCATGTTAGTAATGCAGAGGTTCAGCATCGTGTGTTCGGTCACAGAGATGATAATGCAATTGGTGTTACCATCTTGAAACATCGACTTCGGTGACTTGGACCTGTTCTATGAATGTCCTCCCAGAGAAGTCCATGTCGTGCATTATTTGCCGACTCTGGGACTGGTTGGAAAAAGCGGAGAGGTGGTCAGTATATGACATAGTATCGTGGCATGAAAAAAGCTGCGAAGGATTGGCTTGTGTTGGTCCTTCACGACTCCCTGGTTGGGGTCCGAGAGATGGTGCGACACAGTGGCTGGAGACGTTATCAGATATGGTTCAGGATAGAAGCCAGTGGCGATCGTGCTGTAACCTTCTTTTACTTTCTTCATAAAAAAATGGTTGTATCTTCCTTAACTGAAAGATTTTTTCTAATTGAACCTTTCCGTTCCCCCATTTTTACCATTATTATTACACCACCTTACATCGATCTCTTCGTTATTATTCTCTCTTGCTTTTTCCTTCCCCTTAAATTCTCATTCTTTTGTGTGGCGCATTCTTGTACCAATATTTATGTGTTCAAATAAATAAATAAATAATAAAATAATTTTTCATATTCTTTATATAAAGATGTTATTTTATTTCTTAAAACTCATCTGGTTAGTGGTCTTAACTCTTGCCTTTGACTTTCAATTATTCGGAGACTAAAGTCAATAATACGGTTTCGTGAGTAGTCATCGCTTGACCGTATAATACTATTGAGTGCATTTATCGGTTAGCATTCTGTTCATTGATTTTAATAATAGGAAATTTCGTCTAAATAAATCACGGCAAACTTCCTCCATAACAGAATGGAATCTAATATCTCTTTAGTTTTTGCTAAAATATTGATTGAGACATTGTTGTATGAGTCCTAGCGAGCTGAATTACTAACAATATCCTCTTTTTTATGAAGAATTTGCTTAAGTGCTGATGAAAATTACAGATAGCACTATGGATAATTAAACTTAGTCGGTTTATCCAAATGTCCGAACAGATTCAATGATTTATTCCAAAGCATATCAAACAAATATCTTCTTTCTTTTATATAGTTTATTTATCGATTTAATAAAACAACAGCCGGTTATGCGTGCATATAGTAGTGATTTAAGTATAGAGCAGATTTTCTAATAAATGTATATGTTCAACAACCTAGTTATCTGGAATTATGATTTAAATCTTGATAAACTTTAAGTTACTTATGTAGTCATGCGTATATTTTTGTGTATCAGTTTTCAGTGTCCTCTCTAAAATGACCAATCATTGCTTATTATTAGTGTTAATAAATAACTATTTCTTGGCGTAACAATTAAAAAGTAGTAATAACTCTCGCTGTATATTGTTCGAAACATAACTAAATCTAGGTCTTGTTCACGTTTGTACTCAAACTCCAAGTAATTTCAACTTTATTCAGGTGAAATAGCATTTTATACTGACTTGTTTAATAAACAGGAATCACTGTGAATTATTGAGTAATGGAAAACTAAAAGAAAGTCAAAGTGATTAAATTGAATTTAGAAACTAGTTTGAGTGTGAATAAGTGTTACAGTTCAATTGTAATCATACTAAGCTGGTGTACTCCAAAGGCTAAATAATTGGGGTTCAAAAACAAGAAATAAATTATTGATTTCAATAAATTATTTTTCAAACTTAACAGTTACAAATCCTCAAATTGTGCTAGTATATGTGGTCAGAATAGGACAGCATGTAACATTGAACAGTTTTAGCCACAGTTCGCACTATCGTATGATTCAGTGGTTTGAACAGGTTATGAATTAAAAGCCTATCATCAATAGTCCTGACTGCATCACTTTTTCTTCCTAGTCTTTTAATTGTTAATACTCTCGTTGTTTTGATTTACTGTTTTCTAGCTATTGTCGATTTAAAACCGTCAAATATGGAGGATTTAAGTGAAGTCATTACTTGTTCACGGTTTCACCCTGTTCAATGTAATATACTTGCCTATTCAACTAGTCGAGGTTTGATTCGGTTATGCGATATGCGATATCGTGCTCTATGTGACGATCATGTACTTGGTAAGCTGTTCCATACATAATGAAGTCGATTTACGTGTAAAATGTAGATATATACATGGTGTAATGCTTATATTTTCAGATTGTCACTCTATGATAATTGAAATAATAATTCATTAAAGCCGTAAATTTTTTAAAGTGTCCTGAAACCGTGATTCTTTCTTACTCCTTAACTTGTGAAATGTACATGGTCAATGTGTGTTCTCTAAAGGTATCATGGCATTAATCTTACATAATTACTCTGCAGTCTCGACGAAATAGCGTACAAGTAACTGACTACTATCACAGTTTTTGTTAGTTTGTATGTTTACTTAAGAACTCTTGTCTTGCAAAAAATCTCCAAGTATGTGGAAACTCTTTAAAGAACTTACAGGTGACAGACAGTTTAGAAGCGATAACCAGCTGAATGTTTGTGACTTAAATAAGTCTTTTGTACGTCAGTCATCTGATGTGATGCTCCCTCTATCCACGGGCTTAAATAATAACTGTGTTCCTACTTTCACTGAGACTGATGTACGAAAATGTCTCCAGTCGCTTAATTCATCTCGATGTTTGGGACCTGATGGTATCCCAAACATCATTTTTAGAAAGTGTGCTGACGTCCTATGTTATCCGTTCACAACTATCTTTAACAGATCCTTCTCATCTAATCTCATACCGAAAATGTGGAGAAAGATGAAGATAATCTCTGTACGCAAAAATGTATCTGGTGATAAGAATATGAAATTTAGGCCTATTGCAATAACTTCACCCTTCCTCAAAACAATGGAAAAATTATTGATACTTCCACTTCAGCCCACGATAAAAGAGCACACTAACCCGTATCAGTTTGCTTACAGATGCAAAAGAAGTACCTTAGATGCCGTTGCTGTTCTGCATCACAGTATAGTGTTCAACTTGGAAAAGGGTAAGAAGTATGTTCGCTGCGCTTTTCTGGACTATACTTCTGCTTTCGATTCTATACCAAGACAAGGTTTAATTAACAAGTTAATCAGCGTCAAAACTGACAGCCGGATAACCAACTGGCTATGATCCTACCTCTGGAAGGGAACAGTACACTGTGTTTGGAGGAAAGTGTTCAGAGAGTGTACCACAAGGAGCCGTTCTTTCACCTCTTTTCTCTTTTTCTGCATGATCTGCTATCTTCTACAGTAATCACTTTTGTGAAATATGCGGATGTTCTCACTGTATGTATGCCTATCCCTGCCTCTTAACATCCCATAGAAATGAATGAGTTTTTGTCTCGTATCGATTGTTGGTCTGTTGTTAATGGTCTCATACTTAATCCGTCTAAATGTCAGATTGTTAACTTTAGCATTAGGCATGAACGGCATCTAAACTCCACTTTGGGATCTCATATTGCTTGTACCATTGGAGACTTTGATAAACACAGTGTCGAAGGTCAATTTTATTGGTGTTACCTTTTCCTCTGATCTCTTGGTCTTCTCACGTTTTATTGTTATTGAGGAAAGTTTTCCGTCTGACTTACTACATAAAGAAACTGCATGCTCTTGGGGTTACTCGTCATTTACTCTTACAATTTGTCAATTCTTGCATATTACCTATTATTCTCCATTATTCTTTCCCGGACTTTTGAAAAAAGACTTTGCTGTATTGCGGAGAGTACTAAAGGCAGTTAGCAAGGTGTGTGGTGAATCTTTCGAGCCATTAATAATAATAATAAATAACTATTGTAACTTGCTTTATAAAACTTGAAAAAATTCAAAGGAGCTTACGTTTGAGAATATGACTTTGGTCTGTTATGGGATATTTCATTTATTTATTTTCCTCACCAAACATATCAAATAACCAAAGGTGTATTAAAAGATAAATATTTACTTGCGATTGTTTAATTGTAAATCAACAGGCAACAATATCCATTAGTTTTTTTAAACTGTCATTACGGTTTTTCTTAATTATATCTTTTACCAAAGGAGGTGTTTATTTCAAAACATGAATTGTCTGTAGTCGAGTATTTAGATAACATCGCTCAAAAAATCGTAAGCAGAATAGACGAGACACAATTACCCATTAATTTTAATACTATAAATCTTATTATTGTCATGTATTCTATCTTATTTTGTTTGTTATTTTGTAGGAATGTGTTATGTTTTCACTATCACTGATATTCTAATTTCAACCGCTTCACTTTTAATTTTGTGGTAGCATAGTTCAGTATATAACTGTGGACCTATTTCAGGTCCAACTTTATTTGTGGATCAATTCGATTCGTTGATATGACATATAAAAGTAATGCTTAATGATTGTTTCTCATGGAATAACTAAAATAGTTCGTCAGTCTAGTAAAAATCTGTCAGGAGTCGAAGTTCTTATAAATTCGATGCAGAGGTCTGAGAAGTCAACTTTAATATTGGAACCCTATTAACATGAATTATTTACCTAGGATTTTTGTACATTTGGATTTCGGTTCGCACTGAGGCACTAGACGGGGATTTCGTTCTGTTTGGACTCGTCAGCTAGATCTACGTAAAACTCAGTGTTGATGGGCAAAGTGAGGCTTAAACCCATTTTTTATTAATTCAAACTCGAAAGCGCTGTTGTCTAAGCTACTAGGACCAGATAACCAATAATTTTATATGCTCCTTCAAATGAGTATAGTCTGTGGACCCTGATTAAGTTGATGCCTATATAGAATCCGTTTATCTTGAACACTGCAATTATTGGTGAGAGGAATGTCATCAACTGAACAGAAAGTCATCAGTCCGACAACCATAAAAAGAAATAATCACTATGCGAATGTGTCAAGAAACTTTACCATCACCGCCTCAATCACAAGAAGCCCAACAGGAAACAGAGACTTTTGTGTTCTTATGGAACCATAACAAATAAAGTGCTTAATACATTATGTTTCTTCTCAAGGATTTTTATAGTCTCTTCGTCGACGTTCAGACTGAGTTTTCTTTGGAATTCATTCCTGAATACCAACAATAAGTATAATACATATCCTTCCGAATGTTTGCCATCATACCACTTGATTAAAGGTTTCTTTTTTATTTATTCTACCGAACACTGACGACTTTACCTGCCTAGTTGACTTTTACGTATTTTAGTGTTTGAGGATCCAAGTCTTTCACAAAATCTGGGATTTTTCGCCGATATTATTGCAAGTTTATCAGATTTTCGCTTCGGTCATACTGGAAATTATCTTTTAGCCAGAGATTATTTAACATTGAAAAGTGAGTGAAACCATAATTTTATCATAACTTTTATATCCATATATTTATTGTTTGGATATTAGTAATGTCAGTATCATTTTTCGAAGGCATCTTGGTTTTCTTAGATTTACAGTTACGATGTAATTACATTTGTATTGTGGCTTGTCAGCTGAATGTGGTCCCATGCCATTATTGTTCATTTTCACATGGAGACTCGAGTTTATTACCTTTCGCTCCAACCATTAACACTTTATCCAATTAGTTATCATTAAATAAAGACTTACGGAAATTTATTATTGAATATCAATGGCCAGATAATATGCATACTTAAATGATGAATCCCAAATATAATAACACATAAAGCAAAAGGGCTATTTCGAACCATAGGCTAAGGATACATATAATAAACATAAGTCAACAAATTCTCGAAATATTGCAATCCTGAATACCGAAAAACTGGATATTCACTTGGTGTTGTTTACTTGTAACTTGCCATTGTTATTTAGAACTGCAACTGATCAGTCTCTTGTTGGCATATGTGCATCCTGTGCGGACTGCCTCGATATTGCTTGAAGTCACAAGCTTTATAAGCAAAGACGGGTAACAATGGAATCCAGGACGCACGTTCCGTCCTATTTGGGACTCGTCAGCTGGATGTACCTGCATCTCGGAGTTCATGTTCACTCTGGGACTCGAACTCAATACCGTCCGCTTCAAACGCCATCGCGTTATCCACTTAGCTACTGAGTCCTGATAGCTCTGGGTAGTTCCAAACTCCTATGAATAAGTTACATTTCTAGTTTTACACACCTACTTTTACTGTAGTTTGTTTATTGATTAGGTAAAATGGGTTCATACATGGTGGTGTGATTATCTAGAGTGTAGAAGTATACGTATTGTTTAATTCTGTTGTCATTATAACACAGTCAGTGTTGTAGTAACCTGATTGAATACTGATTTATCTACGATAGCTGTATTGATAATTATTTACCGAACTGAGCTTCGAATCTAAACCGAATAAATTGTTAAAAGTGAAACCACTAGCGGAAGATTGGCTAACAATTTGTATATATATGTATATGTCCTTCCGGGTTTATGGGACCATTTGTTGACAAAATATTAAATGAATATAACATGCCTGCGAGTTAGGTGTTGGTCGACAATCCAATATATGCATAAGATAAGCAAAGGTTACATAAAACGACCAAATGTTTATTGATTCCAGCCTAACCTAACACAATTATTCGTTAAATAATAGGTTTATCAATAATGTAAGTAATTTTATAGTTAACTACATACCAAGAGTACTTATTCACCAGTCTTGAAAGAACAGTTTATTTCAGATTTTTTTTCAAATTTAAAACTGTTCTCTTTTCAGTAGCTTAATAATTCGAATTTTTCTTTTCGGACATGAGCTTGGTAAATCTGACACCCAATTAGTATAATATAATATGATTGTATTAGAGAGTTATTCTACTTATTGTAATAATCGCAGACTGTCGTATTTGTTTGTTCTTGCTACATTTTAATCTAAAAAGAAAGAAAGTAGAAGAAAAGTGTTTATGTATGTATTACACGTAACAATATAATAATAAAAATAAAGGTAATATTATGTTCCTAAAGACAGTTACAACATTTTTATGATGTTTCATTCTCTGAGCTGGATGGTTTGGTCTTGGAGCTTTCAGTTAGACTTCTACCTGAAGTTTGTGCTGATAATGTCGTTCAGAAAGACGATGAAAGCTCCACGACCAAACCATCCAGCTCAGAGAACAAAACTCCATCAAAATCATCCATCTGAGCTACAAATCTTCACCATCTCACAATAACAACATGCATACCAAATTATAGGCATGATTAGGTTGATGCACAATGGATTCAAACTTCGCCTGTAGCTCTTCCAGAGTTACTGCTTGTCCCAAGCCCCGAGTAAAGGAGCAGAGTTGGGCATAGGGTCTGCAACCCCATCCCTTAGAAAACAAACTTTCTAAAAAAACTCTAACCAGAATAAACAATTTAAACCACTTAAATTCTCCCCTGGGAGTTGAAGGAAGAATTATAACGCCTCATGATGAAGGCCGAGATTCTTTGGAAGTCACGAAGTCGATGCCCCTCCTAACAACCAGAGCAATAATTTTTATGGGTACATGGAACGTCAGAACAATGTGGGAGACCGGGAAGACTAATCAAATAGCAACGAAAATGAGGACGTGAAAATCAGGAGGAGATCTGACATAGCTCCAGGTCATCACCTGGTGGTTGCCAAGACGAAACTGAAGCTAAAGAAGCACAGGAAAACTGGAGAAGTAGTATTGCAGCCTTCCTTTGAGTTACTAACAAACTCAACGAATCCAACATAACTCACCGCAACACGTTCCAAGTTTTACAAGATCTACTCTGGAAAGAGGAAATTACCATAGAGAATAAATAGAAAGGCACCAAATAAGCACTGACTTCAACATGTCAGGAGGTTCTGGACCACAAGAAGCATCATCATAAAGAATGGACCTATATGGAAACCCTGGTAAAGATTCGAGAAAGGAGGAACAAGAAGACAGCACTTAACAACGGCCAAACAAGAACAGAGCAAGCCAAGGCACAAGCTGAGTATACTGAAGCAAACAAGCAAGTGAGGAAGAGAATTAGAGGTGGCAAGAAAAATACATGGAAGAGCTAGCAACGACAGCAGAAGAAGCTTCAAGAGAGGGAAATATGAAAAAATTATATGACACAACGAAGAAACTAACAGGGGAATATAGTAAACCAGAGAGGACAAGAAGGAAAACCAATCATTGAAATTCAAGGACAGAGGAACAGATGGGTGGAACACTTCGAGGAACTGTTCAGTAGACTAGGTCCTTTGAATCCTCCGAATATCGAAGCAGCACCTACAGACTTTCCTATAGATGTCACTCCACCGATGATGGAAGAAATCAGGATGACCATCAGACAAATCAAGAGCGGGCAAGCAGCAGAACTTGACAGTATACCAACCGAATGGGTGAAGTCAGACATAGAATTAACTGAAAGTATGCTCAACGTTCTATTCAGAAAGATTTGAGAGGAAGAACAAGTGCCGACCGACTGGAAAACAGGATACCTCATCAAGATACCAAAGAAAGGAGATCTGAGCAAATGTGAGAACTACAGTGGCATCACATTACTGTCAGTACGTGGAAAGATTTTCAACAGATTGTTGTTGAACCGCATAAAAGACTTAGTAGATACCCAGCTTCGAGATCAACAGGCTGGATTCCGTAACTATCGATCGTGCACAGACCAAATCATGACATTACGGATCATCGTTGAACAATCAGTTGAATGGAACTCGTCACCGTACATAAACTTCATTGACTATGAGAAGGCATTTGACAGTATGGTTGGGAGAACTTTATGGAACCTTCTTCGACACTATATTGTACCTGAGAAAATCGTCAATATCATACGGAATTCATACGACGGACTACAGTGCAAAGTGGTGCGTGGAGGACAGCTGACAACAGATTCATTCTAAGTGGAAACCGGAGTGAGACAAGGCTGCTTACTCTACCCCTTCATCTTTCTTTTGGTGGTTAACTGAATTACGAAGACCTCCACATCTGAGGGGAAGCACGGAATACAACGGACAGCTTGGCTACAACTAGACGATTTGGACTTCCCAGATGACCTGACCCCTCTATCCCATACAAATCAACAAATTCAGGTCAAGGCAGCTAGTTTGACAGTAGCCTCTGCATCAGTAGGCCCCAACATACATTAGGGAAATAGCAAGATCCTCAAATACAACACGGAGAACACCAACCCAATCACACTTGATGGAGAAACACTGGAAGAGGTGGAACGTTTCACGTATCTGGGTGGCATCATCGATGAACATGGAGGATCTGATGTAGATATGAAGGTGAGGATCGGCAAGGCAAGGACAGCATTTCTACAGTTGGAGGACATCTGTAACTCGAAACAATTGTCAACCAATATCAAAGTCAGTATCTTCAATACGAACCTCAAGACAGTTCTACTTGGAAAACTACTACAACTGTCGTCAAAATCGTACAAGTATTTCTAAATAATTGTCTACGTAAGATGCTGAATGTCCTCTGGCTGGATGTCGTCAGCAACAGCCCAATATGACAGAGAACAAACCAACTTCGAGCTGAGGAGGAAAGTAGAAAAAGATTTTGGAAGTGGATGGGACACACTTTAAGGAAATCATCAAACTGCATCACGAGGCAAGCCCTGGCTTGTAATCCTGAAGGGAAACGGAAAAGAGGAAGGCCAAAGAACATACTGCGTCGGGAATCGAAAACAGACATGAACAGAATAAATAGCGACTAGAAAGAACTGGAACGGATTGCCCAGCACAGGGTTGCATGGAGAATGCTGGTGAGCATCCTATGCTTCTACATGACGGGTAACAGTTGTAAGTAAGTAACAACGGATGCAACACTACCAGTAGTCAAAATTTACAACTGCACGTCAAACAATTGTTAAAACAATATATTTAAGAGGACAGTATTGTTTCCAATTGGACACCATGAACATTTACTGTATAATGTTGAGGGAGTATTTATATCGATATACGAAAGTGTTAAGTGAATCCAGGCACCTTGTGAGTCAATTATTGCGCTGAAGTAGATTATAAAATCACAAATGATAAATGTTATGTATACATTCATGGTAGGATAATAGGCCACATGAAAGCATACGTTATTCCATTTTACCACACATGACCGAATGATGTCTTAGATATTGAGGAAGAATTATGTAAGATGAATGACCAAAGCGATAGTAATCTCCCTCACTGCAACAGCAGTAACTTCAGGATACTTGTATTGAGGAGTAGTGATACTCCGTCCATATCGAACTCTCCGAGAGCTTCCAGAACCTCACTCATCATTACGGATGTCGATTGCTCGTGCAGTGTTTCTACAGAAGTCCAGTTAATGCAGGTTTACTTGAAACTGTCTTCAAAGTTTATTCAACATTCCATCTCTAAAAATATTCTTCATCATGTCCGCATGTCTAAGAGGTGTATAGCCGACTCAATGCATATTCAAAGAAGAGTGAACTAAATGGTTTTCACCAAGAAATAGATCTTACTTGTCTCACATATATAAGCTCCAAATTAATAACCTTTGAAATACCGAAGAATAATGAGGCGTATCGTATGGGTCATAATGCTGTTCACCTTATAATGTGGTTGATAGCTTTCACTACTACGTCACACACAAGTGGTCATCGTTTTAAGGTATAAGACGAACAAATGTATGGATGCTTATGATTAGTATTCTACCTGATACTTAATTTATTTGAAATTGTTTAGTCGAACCGTGGTATTGATACGCGCACCGTCACAATTATCCATCTTGTAAGCACATAGTTGTGTCTATTGAGTATTGTTTATGCCTAATCCGTTTTACCACAACTGATATTGTCACTAGTTTCACCACTCTAAGACTTGTTTCAATTGTTTCACCTCACTGCGCTGACGTGGTGTTGGAGCGTTAGCTGATGCACACATATTCCAGATTCTACGTTGCTTATTACAGACTGACTTGTAAACTGATGTATATTAGGATTGTCAATTTAAAATGAGAAAGATATGGTTTTGATGTTGAGTTATGAGTGCCATAACTTCTGAGGTTCGGCAGACTGGTTTGGACTACCGCATTTCGAAGATGATTTGTTTAATATTTCGAAGGGGAAGATTGAACACACACTTTCACAATAAAATAAGCACGCTGTTGTTTAATTCCAAACGTTTAAAGCAGTAGGTCCTGGTATGGCTGCACACCAAAGATAGTAAAGTAATTCACAGGCACCTGTCAGCGTTTCAAAACTATTATGATAAAATGGTTTGTCAAAGTTTTCCTCAATGTTAATTGTCGAGATGTGCGATAGCTCTATACATGTTGGTAGAACTGTCTGCCTCATGGCGATTCGTGGCCTAGTCTTCAGGTGTAGTAGTAAGCCGTATGACGAACATAACGATCTTAATGGTTTCCGTTGTTTATTATTATTAGTATTGTTGTGTGATATTGTTCGAGGTGATTTTAAACATCGTTCCATAGAAATTTAACGATAATAATGCCTAGTTTTCCCCTCCGGCTCCTATCGCGTCCTTCTCATAGAAGCAGTTTCTTTTGGCTTATAAGTTTCCTTCATTGTTTCATTATCAACGTACAAAGTTACGGGTTAAAATGCTTGCCCAGTTTATGTGAGTGTAGTAACTCGCTTGCTACGGTTTTGTGTTCTTTGAGTTGAATCACAAGTGGTTTCAATTTACTGGGTTGGATTCACACTCAGTTTGGTGAGTGCGCCTTAACAGTTTCGTAGAGATATGAGCTATTACTTGTTCACACTTCATTAGATACTATTGGTCTAGCTGCTGGTTGAAGTTCAAGCTTTTGAAACTCAACCTACGTACTGCTGTGGTTTACTGTGGTTTACTCGTGTATTTACCGATTTCTTCACTCACTGTTTATCTTAAACTTTTCTCTACCTTAGTTTGGGATATGAGAATGGGCGATCGACCGTGTGAAATTTATTCAGTTCATGAACCATTTCGATCACAACTTTGTATGTTGTATGAAAATGATGCTATTTTTGATAAATTCTTATGTGGATGGTCTGATGATGATAGGTAAACTTTAAAAATATATATTTCTTGTTTCTTTTTATCTGTGCTCTTCCATAAAAATTAAATAGCAATTACAATCAATAAACGGTTGTGACTACTTAGTACCTACGGACGGACCATTCAGATACATGCATGTTTTTGATTCGTTGAACTTTCGTGCAAGTGGTTTGGTGACTCACGTAGCGTAAAACGTAAACGTCTGGTCGTATTGACTGTTGAGACTTTCGTCAAATATGTATGTATTAAAGCTTTGACATACATTTTCATAAGGATGTTGGTCAGTGCTTTCGTTCAGTGTTTCAGACTTATGGTCGATTAATGAACTTTCTCTCTGTGAACCCCTTAATTAATCAATATTATGGTTAAATCAATTAGTATTCAACTACTTGTTGAAGTAGCATCACTAGTCTTTTATATCTAAAATAGTGTTACCGAAGGTTGATGCGCACAAATCTGTACCTGATAAACAATTTACACACTACTTGTCTCGGGGTTCAGGAGAATACTATTAAATAATTGCAATGTTGGATAATTATGGCTCATAAGCATATGTAGGTGTGACATGGCTCAAAATCGTTAGCGATTGCTCTAATGTATTCACTCTCCATCATTCCTTGAATCCTGAGTCCAGAAATCTTGTTACACTTTCTCCTGCCATATATGACCTTTCCTACTACTGATACTTTAACTACTTCTGCTACTCATGTACTTGTCCTGACAATGTTATCTCACTGTGTTAATATGGTAAGACAGTCAGTCAGTCAGTAACAACGTAGAACTTCGTACGTACGTACATCAGTTCGAGTTGCCACACCACATTAGCACAGAGATGCAGTGGTCGATTCAAATCCCGTAGTGGTAGAGGTAGCAAGAGTATAAGCAGTAATCGGGAAGATTAGGGTTTGGAGATGTTATTTAAAGAGTATAATCCAGTGAAAGAAATTTGGAAAGAGGGAAAAAGGGACACGAAGAATTCAGAAGATTAGAGTTTTGGAGAACACAGAGAGTGGATGCACCTGCGCCATTGCGAACGATTTTGAGCCATGTCATTCAGGGTCTCTAACCATCGGTTGCTGTCATCTCGCGGTCCCCAACCAGGTAGTCTACACCTACCAACATGACTCAGTTCACTTGTCAGTGACTTCATGGACTTGTGCCATGTTTTGGTTTGGCCGCCCCTAGCTTTCTTCCAACCTACTCCTATACCACTGGACATAGCACGTCGAGGCAGTTGGTAAGACAACTTGCACCGATGCACATATATGCCAGGTCCTACTTTGCATGTGGTTGACTGAGACGTGTATTGAGTAAGATAGTCTTGATATTTTGTTAACTGAACGGTCGTCCGTCTACTATGATAATGGGGTATTAGTATAATCACAATTGATTGATCACTGGGTGGTGATCAATCTCATGCTTGTCTAGTCCTTATTAGTGTAAAGAAAATAATTGCATCCTCACTTATTATGAGAATATAGTGTACAACCGAAGCTTTTACCAGTTTGACCATTAATCTTCCTACTATCGAGTTGCTTCACTAAAATAATAGACGACTGTTTGTAAGGTCGATTTCCATGAGAATGGTTCGTTGATGCCCTTTCTGGCTTTCGAGGTATTTCCCGAGGACTGACTGTGAGATGTATTTCGTCAGATGAAGAGTTGTTGTGATTCGTAAAAACCACACTGGTGAGTCGACAATACGATTATGTTTAATGCTGAGATTTCTGCATTGACACATTCATTCAGTCAGTCAGCTACAACGTAGTACGGGCACATATATGCATCGGTCCAAGTTGCCACAGCTCATTATTTGCACAACAAGATGAACACCAAATTCTTTGAAGTAGCTACTTCAACGGTAGTAATATGTGAAACAAAGATTGTGTATAAAGACATGATACAGAAATGAAGAATTAGTCTGTAGAAAGAAAGGTTTAAAGCAATTCGAATCTCACGGTTTAAGAGTAGACAAATAGTGTATACACCTACACCATTTTGATCGATTCCGAGCCATGTCACGCAGAGTCTCCAACCATTAGTTACGATAGTCGCGCGGCCGCCACTAACTTTCTTTCAACCATCCCCAACACCGGTTAGCATTGCACGTCGTGGTAATCGCTGTTCAGGCATACACAACACGTGGCCCAACCATCTCAGTCGATGAAGATTCACAACCTCACCAACTGATTTTCCATCATTCCCTAATACCCTGCATCTAACGTCACCAATACTTACCCGGTGATCCCAGCAGATGCGAGTAATATTTCTAAGGCATCTGTGGTCAAATACTAGTAGCTTACCAATATCTTCTACTCTTAATGCCCACGTTTCGCAGCCGTAAAGTTAAACAGAATCAACTGTCACGCAGTATACTCGTTTTTTTATTGATAGACGAATATCTCGCTTTCTCCATAGGTGACGTAAGTTGGCAAAAGCCAAACGAGGTTTTTGGATGTGTACAGAGATTTCGTCAGACACCAACCCATTAGGGATGATCAGACTTCCAAGGTAAGCGAAGTTGTCGACGCTTTCGACTACTTCACTCCTTATAATTAGTTCAGGCCAGTCCTAATGCAACAACTTGCATTTAGGGTGGAGAAGCACATCCCAAACACTCTGGCATTGTTGTTCAGTGGTACCAAATGACTCTGCATTTTATCAACGTCTTCACCAAACAGGACTATATCATCTGTGTATTCTGAGTCGATAAGTAGACCTCTTGAAAATATATCAATTCCTGAAAATTCAGTCGACGCGGACGTTATTTCGATCAGTAGGTCTATGATGAAGTTGAAGAGAAATGGAGAAGGTGGACAGCTTTGACGGACATTACTTAAGGTTACGAAAGCAGATGACATTTCGTCAAAAGCTCTGACTCGACTAGTAGTGTTCGAGTAAAGAGTCTGCACGAGGTTTATGTACATCTGAGGTACGCCTCTCAATGACAGACACTGCCACAGAATCTCGCGGTCTACAGAGTCAAATGGTGCTTTAAAGTCAAGAAAGATCACCATTGTCGGACGCCGATAAGCATGCCTGTTCTAGGACCTGATGAATGGTGAATATGTGGTCGATTCAACCACGACCAGGTCTGAAGCCAGCCTGATTTTCACAAGTTTGCACTTCACGCGTCTTTGTTAGGCGTCCGGCATTTATTGAGGCTAGTATTTTAGATGCTATTTCAGTCAAACTTGGCAAGGTGAGGTCAAGTGAATGACCACACTAGGATCCTGTATGCGTGTTTCGGAGACACAGCATACATCAATGGTACGAGATTCTAGGGTTTTAGCTGAGGAGGCCCGCTGATCGATTTGACATAGGGTGGGTATGTTGAAGGCTCCAATGTGTGGTTTGGAGCGAGGTTTCATTAGCCCTGGACAGTGTTTTGGGCACTAGAATCATTGACCATGGTGACACTTGAGAAGGAATTTCAGAGTTTGAAAGCCGAGGTAGGAGGAGGGAGATTAAATATAAATACTATGATTTCGAGTGCCGATATAAATGGTATAAATCATTTATCGAGTTCGGAATTATTTACTCGGCTTCGAACTACATGTTGTGTAACGGCTAGCAATGACAATTTATTATCCGAGTTGGAACCAAGGATAGATTCGGACTTGGGAAGTTATGGTTGGACTTTAAATTATTTTAGCACTGAAATATCAACACCAAAATAATGGGATAATGCATGCTCATTTTGTCATAAACGTAAATTGAACGATATTTTAACTCACAACTCATTCGGTATCACGAACAGTTCTTCTAAGGTATACAAAATTTGTAATTCATATTATGCAAACCTCTGCTAGCCAGTATAGCTCGATTAGTTCATTACGATAAGCAAGCCTGACCACAACGTCAAGGTAGCAGCAACGGTTGTGCATTGATACATGAGTTAGATTTTTAAGGATTAAACGAGATGTGATATATTTGCTCTAGTCGGTTCTGTGCAACCTTAAAACTCATATTTCTATCATACGATATTCCCTACATTTTATATACAGGTATGCGATAACGGGATCTTACGGCAACCTCTTTCATATATTTGACCGTCACAATGGCTCTGATTGGTTGTATGATCTTGACGATTCAAGCAATCCTTATAACACGAATTCTGCATGTAATACTGAGAGTTACTTATCACCTAAACGTTTTATGTCTCCTGATGATCCCATTGGAAGTCGGTTGGGTTTATCTTCAATTTTCGTAGCACCATTGGATGCTGTGGAAGCTCTCTTTCCAGAAACGACGAGTCAAACCAGTTCGCATAGCAGCTATAGTGATAATAATGATTGGAATAAATTCGACGATAGTTCGAACACCTCAGAGGTGTCACCTGGTAGAACAAAGCTATCTCACTGTCAATTAGAAGATCCCAACCCTACAGAGAATACTCCCTCAGCACCTCCAACAGGTTCGAAGCGTCGAAAGCAAATCCTTCCTTCTCGTGCTGATATTTCTACTGATTCTCATTGTGTTGTACAAAGTGAACACGAGAAGGCCCGTAGTTGTCACCCCAAAAGTAAACATCGTCATCGCAACAAGCATTCTCAATGTGAGAGGATAGAGAAATGTGGATACGATGTTAGTTCTTCTTGCACAGTACCGAACTCAAATGATGGTCATGAGTTATCAGATGTCATTGTAAATTTACTGCCTGTCAAAAAAACGTCTATGGAAGAATTTCAATCAGGGACATCAACTGTCCCTGGAATGCACCAGATACACTGTCAGCGTAAGATACTTCACTTATCCTGGCACCCGAAGAAATTCCTTACAGTAGCTCTATCAGGCAATCAGATGTTTCTTGTTTCAGGTCAGCCGACATTTAGTGGTACATTGCCTTCACAGAAGGATTCGAGTCATTGCTCTTCCTGTTTATCTAAGTCAACTGACGATGAGAACAACATACCTAGTGGACATTGTGAAGCGAGATCCACTTCTATAAGAGACAAGGTAACTCCTATTTTATGCAAAAGTTCAAACGTGAAAGCTGCAAAACGTCGTCGCCGTCGTCATCACCAAGCAGGTAGTTCAAATTTGGTCAATGCTTTCCCTAACTTATCAGATAAGAGAGAAAATCACATTTCTGATATTGATGTTCTTCCTGTTGATTCTGTGGTTTGTGGAATGGATTATACAACGAATTATGAAGCTGACCACGAAGATAATTATGATGAGCAACATACCTCTAAAGCACAACTAGATTCTATTAACTCTGATCCGAACAGTGAAAGCTTCCCATGTATAAATTCCTTATTTCCATCATCGAGAGAAACATTTTCAACTAATTTGAACGATGTTTTACATTGATAATGTTTTTCATACCATTTTGATTGTCTTCCTTACACTGTCTAATTTTTGCCTGACTTCATCTCAGGGTTGACATATTTCCGCTATCAATTTTTAAATCAAAGTTGTCGTTATTGCTGGATGAGTATCTTATTTATTTTGGGATAAATGTACAATAGTACATACATAATTACATACGCACACACACACAGGTAGGCGGAGAGACTTGCGTTCAGACATACATAATCTCTTCCCTGTATGAATGCTAACTCCCAATATCATGTTACGAAACTGCTATTTTATAGTTCTCTATTAAGAAAGATTTTTCCTACCCGTTATTTCACGTTGCAATGCCTATTTATTCTGAACTTGATTGTGTTTCATCCGCATGAGATATGCGTGCCTTTACAGTACAAATTATTGTAAATGAACTCGAAGAATTGTAAATGACTAACTGGAGATCTTTTCTATAGATTGTATTCCATTCCAAAAATATAACGTTGTGTATTTTATGTGCATTTCTAATTTAGCATAAATTATAAAACATGAAGTTGTTGCTTTTATTGTCTAAATTATTTACATCGCTTAGCTTTCAAGTCTCAGTTTAATTTCTTCATCATATTACCGTTTAAGCATTGTGAAATCCAGTTCGCCTGTCTTTATTAGTAGGTGTTCGTTTCTATTCATTGATAACAGTTCACTGTTACCTCTCATAATTTATTCTAGGTATTGATCGGATTGCCTCGATTTTAAGTTCGATATTGACTAAATACAGTAAAACTCTCAACAACTTCATATGGAGTTATTGATTACTGTCAATACAGTGGACAAGCAGATAAGATTTTACTCTACATGACACTATTAAAACTGAGTAGTTTGTTCGTCTGATGTCAACGCATAAGAACACATACAAACTTACTGATATCACATTCTTCCTTTGTGAAATTTATATCAGGTCCCAGTGCCATAATGAGGAGTTGATCTAGACAACCGAAAAGACAATATCTGACATGATGTTCTCATGCACAACTAACAAGTAATAACTATTTTTAAATACATCCACTCAAATGCTAGTTGGAGTAACAATAAGGGTAAATAATATTTGCTTACAATTATTATGTATTTTTGATACATAATGTTCCCCATATTCCGATATAGTGGCACTCATCTTGTCTAAAAGATAATGGAACATGTAGAGCATCAATATTGTTCACTATCTGCTCCAACACCAGTGAGGCAGCCTTAAGATGAAATACAAACACTGAGTGACTTTAGAATTGAGAGAAAACATCACTACATCCATAAAGGATATTTTCTTTCTGTCTGGGTTCTCATCACTAATTGCGATGTATATGTTGGAAAGTAGTCTAACTAACAATTGTAGACAGTTAATGTTCCTGAGATTGTACGTTCCCCTTTCATTCTACACTTCACCATGTTGGACGGTGTTCCTGATCAAACTGAGAAAAACACATTGGAAATAAGCGTGGGTGTGATGGTCCGTGATGAGGAAGCTACATGGATGGAACATTGTGTTAGTTGCAGACTAGGATTTATTTCTTAGTAGACATATTCAAGAAACTGCTGATACCTTCTGATTTTTATGTGTGACAGTTAACAACTTTAGCATTACAGTATGAACAAGAGACTTACTTTTGATAGGAGACTGAGCTTCGCAGATGAGACCACTTACTAAATCACATAAATGAGTGCATGGAATTAAAAGTTAGTATTTGTATTTACATGGAAAATAATCAAACTTATTTCACAATGATCTGGTTTGTGGACAAGTTGCCAATCAACATGTAACACTAGTCCAGAATGCCTCGTCAACTACCTCCAACCACCCACCGTCAAATAAATTGGGAAAACAATCCTAGTAAATGAGGAACTGTTAGGTTCGTTAACCTTGAGGATACTACTGATTCGACTTATTCGGAACGGAACGAAGGCTCAGGATTTAGAGACTCAAAAGACTATTCTGGTCCGTTGTCTTCGACTCAGCTAACTCGATCAAGAAGTCTTGGTAAGGCGTAGAAAGTATATTCTACAAGCAACAGCAGATACCAAGTCAGGCAGGCAGATCAGATCAAGCATACAAGTCAAGCATATTTATACAATTATTTACATTCGATATTGTCATAGGAAATTTTTAAACATTAATCAATGAGTTCATCAATTGACCTATTTGCGCATTTAATCGATAGTTCATCAATTGACTGCTATTCAAACATTTAATCGATCAGTTCATCAATTGACCCCAATACAAATATTTAAACGTTTAATCAATAAGTTGATCGATGCGATAAAATTCAAAATATGAGTTTGGGGATCTATCGTCCCCAACACTCCTCCCCTTTTTAATAGCGGGCTCTCCTGGGGTCAACCTGCATCTTGACTGTAGCTCGCTGTTCTCTTATAGGCCATCGTCTGGGACGTGTTTCAGATTGTTGTTGGGGTTTTTCTTGAGGAAGGGTTGCCGGTAAGTTGAAAGTATCAAGCAAGATGTCGAGAGGAAGATTTAGTCCTGTTGATGGGTGGTCTTGGGCTATCCGCTTACGTAGTTGATTTCGGTGTCTAGTCCATGTGTCTCTTCCCACCTTTACATTGTACATAACTTGGCCTAGACTTCCAACCACACGTGCTTCGATCCAAGGACCATGATTCGCTCTGTAGTCTCGAGCGAACACAGGGCATCCAACTTCGTACTCTGGAAGCTTCTGAGATTTGGTCTGAGATGGTGGTGGTATGGTTCTTGGGCACATGAGACTGTGGATCGTCCTCAATTTCCTTCCCATCAGGATCTCTGCCGGGGACTTCTGCTGTGGTAGCATATCATTAGGTGTTGTTCGGTAAACAAACAAGAAATTCTGCAGTGTTCCTACTGGCGTCCCTTCCCCTTTCGACTTCATTAGAGCTCTCTTGAATGTATCCACAAATCTTTCTGCTTGTCCATTTGACTGTGGGTGGTAAGGTGGAGAGCGGAAATGCTTGATCGATAGGCGTTTGCAAAATTCTTGAAATTGGCTTGAGGTGAATTGCGAACCGTTGTCGGAAACGATTATATCCGGTAACCCATTGCGAGAGAACATCTCTGTCAACAGTTGCATCGTTTGGGTTGTCGTTGGTGGCATGACCGGAACGATTTCTGGCCATTTCGAAAAGGCGTCAACAACGACTAGATAGGTGATTCCATTAATTGGGCCTGCGAAATCGACATGTATCCTGGACCAGGGATACTCAGGCTGTGGCCATGGGACTGGTAGTATTTTCGCGTTACACTTAGCTGCTTGCTGACATTGTGTGCACTTGCTTACTAAATCCACGATATGTTGGTCCATGAGGGGCCAATAAGTATAGCTTCTGGCGATGGATTTCATTCGTTTTATACCAGGATGACCAGTGTGGAATTGCTTTAGCACCTTTGATCTTAGGGATTCTGGTACAACTACTCTATCTCCAAACATCAAGCATTCGTTTACGACGCATAACGAGTCCCGACGGTGGTAAAGCTGTTTCAAGTCACCATCGAGTCCAGTCGGCGGCCAGCCATTTGTGACGTATTTCATCGCTCTCTTTATGATGGAGTCGTTCTTGGATGCAGATTGTATTTCAGCTGCTGAGACTGGCAAAGCACGAATAGCAGTTGTCAGGTAGCACTGCGCGTAGTCCTCTGTCATCAGGGAGGCAATAACTGTATCTTCGCCGGCCGTATGGTGTTCGCTGATAAGTCGTGACAAGGCGTCAGCCTGACCAAACTGTTGAGTGCGCCGATACTGAATGTCGAAATCATAACCCAGAAGTATCAAAGCCCATCGTTGGAGACGGTTTGCAGAATGGGCTGGAACACCAGATTTCGAACCGAAAATTGTGAGAAGAGGCTTGTGATCAGTGAGAAGAGTAAATCTTTGACCGTACAAGTATTTGTGGAAACGGCGTACTGCAAACACAAGAGCCAGAGCCTCTTTTTCTATTTGACTGTACTTTCGTTCTGCTGAAGTTAATGTGCGAGATGCGTGCATAATAGCTTTCTCTGTTGCGTCCGGGAACTGATGTGAAATGACAGCACCGAGTCCAAAAGCTGAAGCGTCTGCAGCGACAATGATAGGCATGGACGGATCGTAGTGCGTCAGTAATAGTTCAGAGCTAATGATGGTTTTCAGCTTGCAAAATGCAGCTTCACATTCTTTTGTCCAATTCCAGCTGGTATTCTTATTCAGAAGATGATTTAGCGGGGCGCGTATGTCATGCATCGACGAAACAAAAGCTGAATAGTAGCTAATTAGTCCCAGGAATGATCGTAGCTCAGAGATATTAGTGGGAGTTGGCATCTGTTTTATAGCTCGGATGTTTTCCGGATCTGGTCTGCGACCTGCGGCATCAAAGATGAATCCCAAATATTTAACTGACTTCAAGAAAAACTGGCATTTTTCTGGGCGTAATCGGAATCCGTTATCGCTGATGCGTTGTAGTACAGCTTTCGTGCGTTCTCTAAGCTGTTCTAACGATGTGGCAACAATTAAGATATCATCGAGATAAGTTGCGACCCCCGGGATACCCGATAGAATGGTATCCATTAGTTGCTGAAAAATAGATGGAGCTGTTTTAACACCAAATGGTAGGCGATTGTACTGAAACAAGCCACGATGAGTATTTATGGTAAGTAACTCTTTCGAATCTTCAGACACTTCCACTTGTAGATAAGCATCAGCGAGATCCAGCTTTGCAAAGAACTTCCCACCATTTAACATCGTGAACAAATCTGCAGGGACTGGCAGTGGGTAGTGATGCTGTTCGAGAGCTGCGTTAAGACCTGTGGAAAAATCTGCGCATATTCGGATTGTGCCATTAGCCTTCTTAATAACCACAATGGGTGCTGCCCAGGCAGAATAAGAAACAGGTGTAATAACTCCCTGTAGTTGAAGGCGGTTAAGTTCTTCGTCAACTTTCGATAATGCTGCGTACGGCACTGGTCTTTTTGGACGAAAGACAGGTTTAGCTCCAGGTTTCAACCGAAGTGTTGCTTTCATAGCAGTGCACTGACCCAATACAGGTTGGAAAATGGTTGAAAACTCCGTCATTAGTTCTTTCGAATATGCTTCAGGTTCATGAGGTTGTTTCACCAGATGGCATACGGTGCTTAAAGGAACGTCAGCTAAATGTAGCTGGTCGAACCAGTCTAACCCAAGTAGATTAAGATCAGCTGGTGTGATGTAACATACACCGGTAAACGTCGAATCATGAAAAGACACTTAACAATCTAGTTGTCCCAACAAACGTAGGTAATTACCGAATACAGTTCGAGGTTTTGTGTTGTTGGAACCATGCGTGGTCATCCCATTCTGATCTAATATTTTCGTGAGAATTGTTACATCAGATGCAGTGTCTATTTGCAATCTAAATGGGTGCCCATTAATATTAAGGGTAATAAATTTCCTCTCAACTGGGCATGAGTTCTCACAGCTTGCTATTAGACTCAACGAATTCGTGTTGGATCTAGGCGTAGGCTTCCTGGTACCTTTGGAGTTGCTTGGCTTCTTTTTTCGACAA